TTTTGGTTGCACCCGTCATTGTTGTTTGGTGGGCCCAGGCTGGATTCAAACCCGCCACTTTAGGTGTATGTGGCTGGTGCCTTAGCCATTGGAGCCTCAGGCGCTAAGCCCCTCAAAGTGGTTTTGATTTGCATTTCTCTGATGATTAAAGAAGATGAGCATTTTTTCATGTGTCTATATACCACGTGCCCCCTTCTTCAGAGAAGTTTCTGTTCAGGTCTCCTGCCCATAGTGAAATGGGATCACTTGTTCTTTTCTTTATACTGAGTTTGAGTTCTCTGTGGATTCTGGATATCAGACCTTTGTCAGAAACGTAACCTGAAAATATCCTCTCCCATTCTGAGGGTAGTCTGTTTGCTTTATTTTACTTACTGTGTTCTTGGCGGTGCAGAAGCTTTTTAATTTGATCTGGTCCTAGTAATGTATTCTTGGGACTGCTTCAGTTGCCCTGGGGGACTTCCTCATAAAGTTTTCTCCCAGACCTATGTCTTCAAGTGTTTCTCCTGCACTCTTTCCAAGAATCTGTATGGTTTCATGTCTTAGGTTTAAGTCTTTTATCCAGTGAGAGTCAATTTTTGTTAGAGGTGAAAGGTGTGGGTCCAGTTTTAGTCTTCTACAAGTTGTCAACCAATTCTCCCAGCACCATTTGTTAAATAGGGAGTCTTTCCCCCAATTTAAGTTTTTGATAGGCTTATCGAAGATCAAATGACAATAAGTGCCTGGATTCATCTCTTGGTTCTCAATTCTATTCCATACATCTACCTCTCTATTTTTGTGCCAGTACTATGCAGTTTTGATCACTATAGATTTATAGTATAATCTGAAGTCTGGTAGTGTGATTCCACCTGATTTGTTTTTGTTTCTGAGAAATGTCTTGCTATTTGAGGTTTTTTCTGATTCCATATAAAATGAAGTACTAGTTTTTCCAGATGTTTAAAGTATGACAGAGGTACTTTAATAGGAATTGCATTAAATCTGTAAATTGCTTTGGGTAGGATAGAGATTTTTTAAATGTTGATTCTTCCCAGCCATGAGCATGGTATGTTTTTCCATTTGTTAACATCTTTGGCTAACATCTCTCATTCTTAAGCAGTGTCCCCTAAGACTTAAATTTCTTTCAATAATACGAATTTTTTACCAAGTTTACAAAGAGGAGGTTGGGGACATAAATATAGTTAATGCATATATTTTTGGTGTTTTTATTTATAAGACTCGTGAAAATAAGTATAGTTTCACATAATGTGATAGGAGTAAGCAAAGGAATATAGGTCAAGTAATGGTCAATTTCTTAATTTTTGATTAAGTTTTGTAAATTACCATTCTTTCTACGATACAGGAATATCTGGAATCTTTACGGTGTTTGGAGTCTGATAAAAGTAACTGGCAAACAACCAGTAAAGACTTACTTCTGGCCTATGCTAATCTCATGCATCTTACACTTTCCAGTAGAGATGTGCAGGAAAGTAGAGACTTATTGGAAAGGTATGTTGACTTTAAGGAAATAATATAAATACAGATTTTCTTTTTAGAGTAATTTATTTCATTGGTGTAAACTTCTTTATTACATCATTATTTCTATAATGTACCCAGGAGTTATACTTGGAGAAAATCTTACTATGTTTTTCTTTTTCTGTGGAGATGTTATAATTGGTTTTTTATGGCTTTAATTTTGAGAACTTTTACAGTTCTGACTTGATTTAAAATTAGCCTTATATTTAAAGAATAAGTTTTATAAAACTTTTTAAGAAAGAGTCAAGCCTTAAAATGGAAATTCTGTTACTTCATATTTTATGTCTCAAAAAAGTGGGATAATCTTGGTGAAGATCAGGTAATAATATTTGTCATCAGACGGCTAGGTTCATTAGATGTTTACCTTAATGAGCACTTAGCATCACTAGGATTTCAGAATATAGTGTTGTAGCTCAGAAACAATAACTCAAATATTTGCTTTTTCTCTTTTCCTAAACTTTGAGTATGGAAACCAGTGTCTGCATTTCATGAAAAATAATTCCATTGAATAAAACATTACTTGGATTTGTGTAAACAGTTTCAAGCAGGGTTTTGATTAGACCTTGTGGGCCACATATTGCCTCTTGCCTAATTTTGTAAATGAAGTTTTATTGGAACATATCATGCCTTTTTATGTATTATCTGTGGCTACTTAACACACTACAAGGGTCGAATTGAGTATAACAGAGACTGTAGTCCTGTAAAGCCAGATTAGTATCTGACTCCCTTTTGAAAAAGCTTACCTGATTCTTGGTTAAGACTATCCCTTTGTTTGGAAATTCTTTTTTTCCCCATCTGGCATAAAGAGAGAAGTTCATTTCACTTGAGTGTTGGAGGTAGTTTTCTTGGAAAAGTAGTGAGTGTCTTAAATTGGTAGGGTAAGTAATGGCTAAATTCAAAAGAACTAAAACTTCTAGATTGTTTTAGAAAATATTTAGGATGTTTTATTTTGTATGTCTTACATAGTCACAAGTTCCTTTTACACTTTTTGAGGAAATCAAAGACTTTGTGAGTTATTTCTATTATATATTATATTTCTATTATTTCTATTTCTATCATATCAAAAGTTAAAACAGAAATTAAAAATTCACTAAGTAGTATAATCCCATTACATGATAATAGTAGTAGCATTTTTTTGTGAAAAATAAATTTTCCAAAATAATAAAACAAATAATGAGAAGAGTGGCATTGTTCTGCATTTTTATAAATCTTTTTAAGGTCTAGCTTAATAAAACACAGCTGGATTCTCATCAACTTCCTTCTTCACTCTGTTAAACTATTACATATCACAAAGGCTCTGGAAAACTCAGATACACATACACGAGAAAGTGAGAATGATAAAGACAAAAAATTTCTTGGTATTTTTGCAAAAATAATTTTAGCCTCATGGATTTCCTGATGGTCTTTGAGAATCCTCAGAGATCCCCAGACCTCATTTGTTAAAAGATACACCTGTTGCTCTGCTATCTTTATTACATGGATTAGCTGCTTTAAAATTAAAGCACTAATGTTGGTGCTCAACATTTAAGTGTTTACTTTTGCTTTTCTTTCTAAGTGAAGATTCTGAAGATCATTAAAATTTAGAAATACTAATTAGACTACAGACAATAATTAATAGTAAGAAGTGTAATTTATTTAACTCTACAGTTACACCTGTATAGTCAGAAGGGGAAGTTACAGTGTTGATATTGAAATATCTGTCAATTATAATAATTTAGAAATGGCATGTCTAATTTGAGTAATTGAGAATTGAATTGAATTAATGAAACCATATGATCAGGAAGAAACTAGAAGGTACTTTAGTTTCCTAAGATTTATCTTGATGTATTATGAAAGGTCTACCTATAATCACTAATCTTATTTGATTTGTGTCTTTTCTGTGATTAGGGGGCTAGAAATAACTGGGAGTAAGACATTGTAGAGCAGCAGTTGGGTTGCGACCCATAGGAACTGTATTAAAGGGCTGCATCATTAGGAAAGTTGAGAACCACTGTTCTAGAGGTTAAGCTTGAAGTGTAGGAAGTATGCAGGGTAAAAATAAGCACCAGTTTTATTATCTCTGAAATGGAAAATAATAATTGTTGAAGTTTGAGTGTGGAAGATGAAATGTATTTTATTTTGAGTTAAATAATTGCGAGGCAATAATCATAATTATTAGACATTAATCCTATGGACTACCTGTATAATATTTTATTATTACAGTTTTGATACTGCTCTTCAGTCTGTGAAATCTTCTGTGGGTGGAAATGATGAACTGTCAGCTACTTTCTTAGAAATGAAAGGACATTTCTACATGCATGCTGGTTCTCTGCTTTTGAAGATGGGTCAGCATAGTGATGTACAGTGGCGAGCTCTCTCTGAGCTGGCTGCACTGTGCTATGTCATAGCATTTCAGGTAAGCCTTTTCCAGTTTTAGGCATAGTTGACACATTTCACTGAGACAGTCATGTGTTTCAAATGGAGATTATGCTCTGGTGTGTAATAATAAGTGAACAAACCTGTAGAATTAAAGTTACAAAGAAATTGTCAATTTTGATAGGGCAAAACAAACCCAGGATATATACAACAGGTGAGGCTGGTAAAATAGATGTATTAATGTACTCCTCTTGACAGTCTGCATTGCTATGACTTGAAGACCATTTGGAAGAGTTATCATCTTACTTTGCCTTTTCCGGAAACATACAAGGACATAATCTCAAATATGGTAAACTTGATTCAAAAAGATATATGTGGCCCAGCGCCTATGGCTCAAGTGGCTAAGGCACCAGCCATATACACTTAAGGTGGCAGGTTCAAATCCAGCCTGGGCCCGCCAAAACAACAATGATGGCTACAACTAAAAAATAGAAGTATGCCCAGGCCTTGGCTACTTGGGAGGCTGAGGCAGGAGACTTGCTTGAGCCCAGGAGTTGGAGGTTGCTGTGAGCTGTGATGCCATGGCACTTTACCCAGGGGGATATCTCAAAAAAAAAAAAAAGATATATGTGACTTGAACAAAACACCTAATAAGAATATTTGGGGGAATGAGTATGTAAGCTGTAATAGAAGAATGTGATTAATCTTTAAGCATGATCATCAAAAAATGTATATATAACAATATGATGTAGATTACATTTATGATAGTGTACCCGTATTATATATTAACATATAACCATATATAAATCTTTGAAAACATAAAACCTTTTCTTATACAGGAAGAAAACTGCCAAAATAGTAAACATTGTTTTCAGATGATGGTTAATGTCTCTTTTCCAACCCATTTTTCTAGTTTTAATTTTTTTTGTGTGCTCACATTACTTTTTATTTACTTTTTTTTTTTTTTTTTTT